TTTTTTAAAATTATATATTATCATTTGAATTTGAATTTGGAACTTGAATTTTAAAATTGGAATCTATCATTTATAAAGGCGAGGGAAAGAACCTATCTGACATATCCTAAGAGATTCCAGTAGTTAAAAATAAACATGAATTAAATTTTTTTTATAAAATAGTAAAACTCAATAAATTTGTCGGATGATAGATTTGACAAATAGAAAGATAACATATAAGAGATGACATATAAGAATTTTAAAGTTTGGAAGAATATAATACTTTTCATTTATCTAAATATGGTATATATTATATATGGAGACTTAGAAGATAACATACCAGAAGATAAACATGCAACCACTTTATCCCTACAATACAAGAAATAAACGTGCAACCAGCCAATTACAAGAAACAAAGTAATCTTTTACATCTTTATCCCTTGAGAATGGCAACTATCAGTTCTAGTGTTTAAGTTGGTCTACTTTATTTAGAAAAACAACCACTTTATCATCCTGCATTGCAACCCCCATGCCAAGGTTCTAACCCAACATGGATCAGAAACAAATTTAAGCTCCTGTTAACTTTTGCCATTAACTGTAAGTTCATGACTCACATTTCACAAGATTGATCAATTGCAGTTTCGTTAACAAGCTTGAAGGGTTATTGGTACATACAAAGCTGCTGTACGTGCATACACATGCTTGAAAACACGAGGAAAATATATATATATATAAAAAAAAGCTTATATACCAAGAAACTCTATGCAAACACCCCCTAAAAAAACTCTCTACATCAAGTTTTGCTTTCGATGGACACATTGTCACTTCCATGGCAAGCACATGATATGGATTTGCTAGTTGATCATAACTACAAGAAAGGGAATCTCCAGGGGCAGTTGCTAGAAGAACATTGAAAGAAAGAAAAGGGGAAAATGAAGCTGAGGCCCTGACATGTACCAATTTACACGGTTGAGTGGGAACTGAAGAAGTTATAGTCATGGTGGTGAATGTCAAGCTGCTTCAACCAGGAATCTGCAGCACTTTGAAGATAAATTAATCTTTCATGATCTGATGTCTCTGGCTTTACCCAGATATCCCCTTGCATCTTGTATGTAGCCAGTCCAAATGGAGGAAGAGAACTGCTACTCTGTTCTTTCCTTTTACCATTTATGTTGCTTCCTAAAGTTTCAGAACCCATATCTTTTTCAGCATTGATGCCCTGCTCAATTACATTATCTGCATAATCATGCCAAAAGATGAATGACTATAAGCAGGCCAGATAGAAAATCCTCAGAAAACAAAGTGAATCATTGACAATGTGTTTTATTTAAATTTTACTTTTATGGAATAGAAATAAGAACTTAGCATAAATAGGATTAAAATTTGAATAAAGACAGTATGCTAATTTCAATTCATTTTCATGTCTAATTCAAATTAGGAGGTTTTGTGATTCCTCTTTAATATGTGGGAATACAAATTAGTGGTTGTGGAATAATACCTCAAATGCGTAAATTACAAGTAATTTCTACATACTAAATAATTAAGATATAGGAATTAATGGGAATTGAATAAGTTTAAACCAAACATAAACTAAGTGTAATGCACATTTACAGTTCATTGCAATGCTGATTACATTTGTCCTGTATCAGCATTGTTTGTTTTTATTTTAAGCTAAAAGGGAAAAAGAGTAACATGATAGTAGCACAGACAAATATACCCTAAAGAACACATTAACCAAATATCATCTGCTCTATGTTCTCCTGTCATTTCCTTTTTTACACTTCCGTCCTCAAAGAAGAATAGAATTTCAAGAGAATAACCTACATGGTTAGAGGCCAGAAGAATAAAAGTTTTGGCAACAATAAATGCTAACTGTAAACAATAATATAAGCATACTAATTTTATACTGGTGAAACCTATTGGTTAGAGAAACTGAAACTCCTCTGTTTAAGGGAGGAAATGACAACTCAAAGATATAACACCAGCCCTATAGAGCTGGTACTATAAGAATATCATGATATCATCAGATAGTCCATTCACATTGTTAAAAGACAGTCCAACAACTATGGTCCCATGCTCAAGAAGGAAAAGCTACTTTGGTTGTTCTTTTACACCCTTTTAGATAAGAAAAAGAACACAAAATATTAGATAGTCTGATAAATGGAAGTAAATGAGATTCTAGAGAAAAAAAAATCAAAATTCAAATCATATGTGATACGAGATAAATAGAAAGTTCAGAAAATAATAGGTGAAGCCAACAGTCATAAATCATGTGGATTTAAACTGCAGTGAAGTTATCTGGAACATTCATCCTCTCAATAATACATCAAGTCTCAAACAACAATGAGCCTTTCATCAACCTCAGCATAGTTTTATGAAAACAAACAATGATCATCTTGTTGTAAATTGCAATGAACTCAAACAAATAAGCAATGAACCATTCACCAACCTCAGCATAGGTTTTGAAAACAAACTAAGATCTTCTGGTTTCAAATTGCAATGAACTCAAATAACATGTCGAATAAGTAGAGAATCATGCACCAACGTACTTGAAGGAGTAAACAGATTACATAAAAACAAGACTATCAACTTTTATCAGTTTAAATTTCATTTTTGCATTTTGAATTGCAGATGCAAAGGTAATTGAAAGAATAGGCAGATGCAGACAGTAGGGAAAAAAACTACCATTCCTCCAACAGATCAATCAAACCATCCAACCCTGCTCTAGACTTCTTCAAGCACAGACTTAAAACAAATATCCCTTCTGATATTCCTGATTAAACACAAGATTTCATTCTTCACTTGCACAAAGCTTAATATATTAGTAGACCAATCTAAATATCCTGAGGATCTCCTATGGCATAGTGGTATTGAAAATTGTAAACCTATGTCTTCTCTTATGTGTTCCCATGGTCAACTAGGAAAGTGTGACAACTGACAGTCCATTCTTCACTGATCCTATTAGAGGAACAGTTTGCAGCCAAGAAGGCATCTCGAATGCATGGAGCCAGTGGCACTCATCATCATGCGATCAAGAGGATTCCATGTTACACTAAAGGTACTTTACACTATGGCCTGAAAATTAGCAAGACCATCCTAGAATTATATAGGCTATTCCAATGTAGATTAACTGGTGGTACTAGATGTTTTATAACTGGTTACTGTGTTTATCCTTGGGCCTAACTTAACTACTAAGAAACAAACCACAGTCTCACAATTTCCAGCTGAAGCTAAATACAGGGCAGTAGTTTCAGTTGCCTCAATTTATTTGGCTAGAGAATGTTTAATGTGAACAACAACGTAATTCACTAGAAGTCTCAGCTTTCTGCTGCAACAATGTTAGCACAACTTATATGGACTCTAATCCCATAGACTATGTCCACCCCAAAAGAAAAAAGCAGGTATTGACTTTGTTTGAGAAAAAGTTCAATCAGGCACTCTTGTTAGATACGTTCCTTGTCAAATTGGCTGACATTTACACCAACAGAGCATATCAATTTTCTAGTTTACAGTCCAATGTTTGAGTATCGCCCTGCACAGTTAGCAGGACATAAAGTTATCTTATAATAGTAATCCAGGTATAAGACTATGGTTATTATTTGTATTTAATACATTATTACGGATTATATACCAAACATGATTTGTATTCTAGCTCTTATAATGTGTATAAGTACTACAATTGTGTACATCAATTAGATTGCCGAGACAATTTTATTCATAAATGTACAAGTTATACCTTGGAAACAAGATGATAGTGTGTGATAACTAAGGAAGCATGCTGACAAGTCCTTCTCATTTTTCTGAGATGGAATATGATAGATGGGATACCTGTAAAAGACAAATAACCCATAACTTAGTTTAATTACTCAAATACACAAACACCATGAACAAAAAAATGAAAAAATGAAGAACCAGAAAATATAAGAACTACAGAATAAAGGGCTCTTTGCAAACAAAGCAAGAGTAAAAATGATCAGCGACATTGATCAGAAGAACGTATATTATCTAATCTGTGTGTCTTCTGATGTAAGTGAAACATTATAGTTGCAATCACAAGGATTTCTGTTTTTTGACAAAAAAGGACATGGTGAAGAAAGGGATCATAATGCTGGAGTACAAGAACTTCCCTTGTGAAGTTCTACAAAAACAAGGCCTTGGCAGGAAGATTCAAGAGTAAACAATCCTGTTTGCGCCAACTATTTTTAGCAAATATGAAGATTATATTATGGTAAGAAATTTTGCTAAACGCTGTTTATCAGGACACTGAAACCCAAGTCATGTTACCTGAAAAAATATGGGCGATCTTTCAAGCCTTTTTGCAGCAGTAATGGTGCTAGTTTAATAAAGATCTTTTAAACTACTCAAGCTATGGAAGAATTTCATTACCAGGACAATTAAGAGAGTTGAAAAGGCTAAGTTTACATGTAATCTATAAGTTCTTACCATTTTGAATTGCAGACAGAATTTACCCCAGGAAAGGATTTTTATTTTTATAAACCCCTAGGAGAGAATATATTATCTCAATCATATGCAGAATTACAGGGATTTAAAGTCACACTTACCAAGCCACTGCCATCCAACTAGCTGCCGAAAGATCGATACTCCTAAATGTCATTAGTGCTGGATGATTCCGAGCCAATTCAGTTACCTGAACCAAAATGTTGTCCAGAATCACGTGGCCGGCACAAGAAAGTGAAGGATTCAAGTTTCTATTTTACAAACTTGACGAAAATGAGATATGCTAAGAAATCAATTATATTAAAACTTGAAAGTGACCTTAGCCCTGAGTGGAACTCTCCAATAAGGAGATGACATCTCAAAGTATTGGAAGAAAAGGTAGCCAAGCCTGTCCTTCAATGTCCATGAGGCCTCCTGATCAAAACTTGAATCTTCAGAAGTAACATCCCAAGCTTTGCTTGAGTTGTTGCTCAGAGATCTGGATAGTTTATCACTTCCGCTATCATCACTCCAAGAATCACTTTCAAATTCTGGAACATTATTATCATCTCTAAGATTCCTGCAATCGTGGAAAACTTGCAGACTAAGAGCTATGGTGAAAAAGTAGAGGAAGGAAAGAACTATATTCACAATATTTGGTACATGAAACAGGGAAGATAATTGTTAAACACCTAGAAGACACACTAGACTTGTAAGTGTAGATCTGAATGGCAGATAAGTATGGAACATAATATTGTGCAACATTCTCGCCATTGCTCAGCTCAACTTGGGTGCCCAGACCATATGCACTCCATTCATCATAGCAATTCCAGAGATCACTTAACATGAAATATTCAATTACATCTTTTTCCCCTGGTTGCCATAGGCTGTTTAGACCATGAATGCAGCTCTACAAAATATGTGAGACATTAGTATAAGAGAACTTGAGGGAAATAAAATAGAAGACTATAAGACATGGAAATAAGAAAATACATGAATTGATTGATCAAAAGAAGAATTAACCGATACTGAGTTTAAAATTCTCAATGGAGAAATAATTATCATAAGCATTACTATTTCACATAGAAAATGATAATAAGAGTGGACATTTCTCCCAGGTTTGGTCTTCAAATTAGGAACTTTACTCAAAGTAGAAAGTATTATGAACTGCAATTACTTACATCAATACCCTATAAGCAACGGACATGGTTAAAAATTGTAATGTCCTTCTGGCCGAGAGTTTTCTTGGACAATTTAAAATGATAACTGAATCATCATATATATTTAGGTAATATTCTGGGTCCGCAAAGAGGATCATTTTTTTCAATACAGTCATCATTAGCTACTAACGACAATATCTATATGCTTATTCATAAGAAATGAACTCTTCAAATTTTCATCATATGACTACTATGCTTAAAAAGTGTAATGTCTTACTAGCAAGTTTTTCTTGGACAATTGAAAATGAAAACTGAAAATGGGATTTCCATCATAAGTATTGAGGTGATCTTCTGCATCCTTGTAAAGAGAATTATTTCTTTCAATATTCACCAATCATTAGTTAGTAGCAATTATATCTAAATGCTTATCCATAAGAAATGAACCCTTCAAATGATATTTGATCATATGACTATTTGAGTAGTCCCATAAATATTTTAGTCAAACTTTGGCCATTTATTGGACAACTTAGACATGCTGAAACTTTTATTAGATACAAGGCACATTGCAGAAACCATGTCAAATTGAACTCAAGCCTCCCCCGTGGGAAAGCCATGATATGATCACTGAGAAAGAACTCCTACTCCTCCATTTTCTATCAGCTAGCTGAAATTACTAGCTTATTTGGTTTCAATCCCTCTGATTCAACTGCCATTTCTCTAATTAATTTCCAGCAGTAAATTGTTACTAATCTATTTCATTTTCTTCTCTCTTACTTCATACTGTTCGAGTTCATTTTATCTGCAGTCACTCATGTCTTGAATGTCATATGTGAACGTACAATTTCTACTATTTAAACAAAATCCCATTCACAAAAAATAAAATTAGTTCCAAGATTTGTCAACCTGTGATGGAAATAGTACACTTCAATTTATATATTGACAATATAAATCCATTTAGTAAAATTAATGTCGAATAAAACTCATGGAAATCCAGATTGAAAAAAGAATAAGCGTTTGTTTATAGTAACTCACTCGTCTTTCTTCTTTCATTTTCATATTCTGTTGTCATTTAATCGTCTTCCTTTATTATTTTAAAATATCATTTATTATTATCATCTTTAAAGATAGTATTATTTCAACAACCTGACAGAAACACATAATAACAGAAATCTTCTTTTTGGTTTCTTTTATTTTTTGGGAAAACATAGATCTCATTACTGCAACTCTATTAGACAAAGAAAATACATGAAAATCGGGAAAGTTGAAAGAAGTGTATTTGAGAATATATTACAAAAAGAAGTAAGGGGAAGTACGAAATTATTGGGAGAAGATAAGATGGTGAGAGGGCACAGAGTTCGTCATTACCACGTGCATCACGTGCTGCCAATGGATGATGGCATGACACACACGACAAATATCGTACCCCGGAAACTGGACCATTTCACACTAGAAATAGAATATCCATGGCATCCATATAACTATATCCACATATATATATATATGTGTATGTATATACTTCATTCTCAGAAAAATTAGAATAACTAGTGGGCCTAACCCTAACCCTAATCCAATACTCTTCACATTGATTTGGGTCATGATTCCACGTAAAACAGACAAACATTTACAATAAAATCAGTGAAGCCAAATATTGGATAAAATCTCTGCCGAGAGTAATAAAAAAACCAAATAGAAAAATTCAAATAAAATTGTCGGAATAATCAGAAATCACTAACCATCCATTCATCTAACAATATTATTTTTTAATAAAAAATGGAATTCAAAAATTGTAAAATAAAAAAAAAGCAAACAATCTGCATCCAGAAAAACTATTCCAGGGTAATTCAAAAAGCAAAAGAACGAAAGAAAGAAATAAGACGAGGAAAATTAACAATCATCAGATTTATTCACCAAAAAAAAAGTGAGGGAGAGGAGAAAATAGAAAATACCTGAGGAAGTGAAAATGAAGGAGGAGAAGGAGTGATGGAGCAGAGAAATCTCTCCAGATTAGACTGTGTACTCGTGCAAGACGACTCCAACCACCACATATTCTTTCTTTTTGTCTTAAATCTTTCTTTTCGTTTCTCTTCTTTCAACCCCAAATCAAAATTTCAAAAAAGCAAGTATAACGAAAAAGGAGAAGATTGTCGATTGCGTTGCTATATATGATTTTATTTATTTATTTATTTCCAAAAATAAAAGAAAGGAAAAAAAAAAAGGCAAAATATAAATCGATAAAGCTTCCCCAAACTGGAAATACCAAATACACCTACTAATTTCCATATATCAAATAAAACCTTCCATGTTGGAGAACTTACTAAAATTTACGCAAAAAGGTACATATATACACACACATATATATATCCTGTGCTTTCAATGATGATTTTATATATGCTCTGTTTCACGCTCAAAATGCCGTTCGTTTTAAAGAACAATTAATGAAAGAAGAGGAAGAGGAAGAAGACGAGGAAGACGACAAAAAAACGAAAACAAACTGAAACGTTTCTTCTACTAGACTGAATTTATTAAGAAATTAAAAACACTACTGAGATGAAACGGATTAATGAGACGAGAAGATTTTCAAAGCGAAACAGAAGAAACTCTTCAATCTCCTAAAAGTTAACCAGGACGAGAATTATTATCACCAAATTTATTTTATTTAAAAAAGAAAAGACATACGAGACGGAAGACACGAGCGGAGAGAAGGTGAGTGTGTGAGCGAGCCGTGAGCGTTCGCTTCGCCGCGCACGTTAAGTTGTTTCTTTCTTTCTCTTGTCTTGTTCTTTGATTTTTTATTTTTTATTTTTTTAATTTTAGGGACCACGTGCCCTAATTTCTTCCTTCTTAGTTAGCTTTGCACAACTCACGTGTCGCCTTTCTCATGCTTACCTTGCTTTCTCTATTAAAAAAATATTTATTTTATTGCAACCTGTAGACATATCTGTAAAGTTTTGTTGTGTATCTTACTTTTTTTATAAAATAAAAAAATAAAAAAAAATAGTTCTTATAATCATGTCTTATTAATAGAAATTCAATTATTTTTGTCCTACATGTATGTATGGATATATTAATAAATTAAATTTTAATTTTTATTAAATAAAATAATTATCTTTAATTTATAATATTAAATCAAAAATGTTTATAAATAAATTAAAGATAATAAGATAGACTCTCACTTTACGTAAAACTTACCACTATTAATTTGTAATCTATTCATTACATGATAAATTTTATATATTTAATAAAATTCAAACTTATTATTTTTAATAAGAATATAAAAATTTTAATTATTAGACTACTAGTTTAGTAGTCTCATATGAGACTTTCATGTTTTATATCACAAAACTTAGATCAAGTATTAATTTATTGTGGTTATCTTAATGAATGAGATCTAACGGTTACAGATTGTAATAACTCATTGAGATAAATTTTAATTTGGTCGCTGCAATATCTCCGACTTATTAATGAGTTAAATATTGAGTTTACTAAATAAATTATTATAAATTAAACAATTGTTAATTTGTAATATACCTATAAAACAATAAACTTTATGTTATTAATAATGTTTGAACTCATAATTTTTCGAGTAATAAATTTCACTTTTATATTACTGTGAATTTTTTTGTTGAATACTAGCGTAAATGTTATTTTTTTTAATATTTTAAGATAATATAAAATTTTACAAAAGCGTAGAACAAAATTTTTAAAGATTTTGTAGTCATAATGTATCTGAATTCATAAGAAAAAAGGGAAAAAATTGATATTCACCTTTTTTCTGTATTTGGATATATAAAATGAAAAGAAGTGAGTAATAAGTACTCTTTCTTTTTAAAAAAAAAAATTAATTTTTTATTGTATAAAAGATGGAAAAATGAATAGAGAATAAACGACATAAAATTTTACTTCTTTATTTTAGAAATAGATGGTACTATTTCATTATTTCTTATAATTAACTTTTTAATTCCTTTACGAAGTTAAATAAAAAAACTAGTATAATTATTCGTTTATTTTGTAATATCTTTTATGTTCTTAGTAGCAATGTACATCGATCCAAGACAAGACCAGACTGACTTGGACAGACACTGGACCAAGAGCGAAAATTCTTAACCCCTCAAACTAAAAACCATATCATATTAAGTCTTGGTTCCATTTGGTCTGGATTTGATTTATGAACTAGATTTATTTATCTATTTTAATTAAAACATCAAATAAAATCATAAATAATTTAGTTATTCATAATTAAATGCTAAGAGCCCTAAATATAAAGACATCATATGCCCTCTGACGAGTGGAGATTGTAGATACACTAGCAGATGCTTTAAAGGGAAAATGTTTGAATTTTTTCCTTCACTACCTAAATAAGATAATCGTACTTTTATCAATGGATTAAATTGAGATTAGATGATTCCTCGGAAAGTTAGAGAAAAAGCAATGGAGAGGTAAATTGAGCAAGATCATAAGTGAGATAGGAGGAGGCAAAGAGCATAAATTGAGAGGAGGCATTATTAGAGCTGGAGAGTGAGGGTCGACAAGTGAGAGTTACTAGAGTAAGGGCTTGACCGCTTGAGGAGGTGAGAGTATGAGTTAAAAGGAAGAGCTATTAGAGGCGGAGAGTGAGGATTGACGAGTGAGAAGCTAGAGTGAGGGCCCGATTACTTAGGTTGAGGGATTAGAGCTAGAATTAAGGCTTGAGTGAACTGCAAATGCAGTCACGTAATTACACCCTAAGTCACGTAGGGGAGCCATAAACACAATCACGAAGGAGTTAAGGCCTGGTGAGGATTTTCATTTAAGTGAGGCAAAAGTAGCAATAGATTTAGTCCACGTTAAGGTTATGGTTTTTATTTTTATTTTAAATAATTTTAATTTAATTTTTGTTAAATTTTTTTACTCGGATTAAACCAAACCCATTTAGACCGCCTTTCAGTTTCTTTTTGTATAGACTAAAAATTGGACTAATAAATGTGTTTGATCTGGTATGGTCCAAACCGAGTGAACTAGTCTAGTTTAACTTTTCAATCCATATTAGGATTTGCACACTATTAGTTTTTAATATACAACTATCGAAATAAAAAAAATATTTTCTTTTTTTTTTCTCTTAAAAATTGTTCTTTCTTTAATTTTTTATTTATTCTTTTATTGATATTTTCCTAAATGTAGTGTCAGATTACAAATATAATCACATATTATTTATAAATTTTTTACGGTATCCCAATATTGACACTCAAAATCACATGGTTATGATGGATAAATAAAAAGGCAACCAATTTGGTAAAATAAGATAGTTGAGTAAAATAGAATAAATTACTTATATAAAAGATTTGTATATTACAAAATATTTATAACGAATGAGTATTAAAAAGAGTAATATAGCACAAAGTACCATATTATTTTTTAATTCATACTAATAGTTAATGGTAGTGGTAGGAGCAATGATAACAATAAAAGTGATGAAATTGGTGACGAAAGTTGTTGTGACATCATGCTCTAGATGGAATCATGAAAATCTATATATTCCATCCATTGGTAGATTTATATGCCATATCAAAATAAAAGTGCATAAATTTAAAACTTTCCTATATTTTTGTCCCTTCCAACTATAAAATAAAATTAAAGCAATTGACAAATTATGTTAGGCATTAATTAATTTGAAAATAAGATAATAGCTTCAAAATTCTGAGGTTAAATCAACCTTGCTATAGGTAACACAACTCTAGCACAAAACTAAGAATCTCTTCACTGCTCCTGGTGGCCGTGAGCTTGCTTTCAATTTTTTTTGTCTGAAAAAATGAATTGGGGTGAACTACACGTGCTTAGTAAAAGCAAAATAGTCATCAAATCTATAAAACTGGAGTTAGTATATGGGAACAATCCTTTAATTTAATTCAACCGTAAATTGGGTTTGTTTAAATTATTTGTTATGAACTACGAACAAAGCATTTACGATGCGTGCTGTTACCTTAGCAAAAA